GGATGGTCTCGATCTCTTGACCTCGTGATCCACCCGCCTCGGCCTCCCAAAGTGCTGGGATTACAGGCTTGAGCCACCGCGCCCGGCCTTCTTATTGCCATCTTTATGTCTGTGTGTACCCCATGTTTAGCTCCCACTTCTAAGTGAGAATGTGTGATATTTGGTTTCCTCTTCCTGTGTTAATTCACTTAGGATAATGGCCTCCAGCTGCATCCATGTTGCCGCAAAGGACATGATTTTGTTGTTTTATGGCTGTACCTACTTTAGTTTTAAACTAGGGCATGTTCTTTGACTACTGCCTAGCTAGGAAAAACAAAGACCACCACTCTAGGCAAAGTTAACAGCCTGAGTCTATCAGGGTGGGCCGCATCAGAAAGAGGAGGACGTGAGCGCAACCACACAACAGAACATGGGTAGAAGAAGGGTAAGGAGAGAAAGACGTTTGCCATCCCAGAATGGTGATCAACAGGTGGCGCAAGAGCTTAAGGGAGTGTAGCTGTGGGAGGTTAAGAGGGACAAAAGAAGTTTGCCTTTCAAACCTGGGAACACTCACCATACTTTGTCTCAAAGAGGGGGCTCAGGCAGAACTAGCGATAGTGGCCTGCACACAGCACGGTATGTCTGTGATAGACTCTCCTCAAACCAAGACACTGGGAATCATGTCACAAATATTTTGGCATGATCTCATCAATCTGATGCAAGTTTCCTATACTAAAACCAGAAAACTAGGAAGAGTATCTGATATTGTGGCCTTGTCATGGTCTAATCACAAAGACCTAAGCCCTGGTATTCTTACCCGAACACAGGAAACTTAGCCAAAACAGAAATGAGTCCTAAAGAACTAGGAGCCATCCATGTTTAGACCACATTGGTCAGTGTTAGAACAGAACTGCAAGAACAAGTCCCAAAGTCTCTACCAAGATTTATGACTTTTCTTTTGTTCACTGTCTTCCTCACCGCAACTTAAATACTACATGAGGCAAATCTCTTTTTAAAAAAAAAATTCACTATTTCCAATGTGTAAACAAAGATTTCTCAATAAATGTTTTTGGAATATAACTATTAACATAGGTATATGAGAGGATTGGAATAGTGGTTTTCAAATTACGTCCAAACACTACCTAAATAATATAATCTAAACCTACACTACATATGTAAATCTCCAGCTATGGAAGGGAAAAGGCCATGTTGAGTGGCACTCTGCCCTTAAACACAAGTATAGCTCTACTATTCTATTCTATATTCTGGAATTTGTGTGTGTACAAGATTTTCTTGGGGGAAGGAGGACTGGGAAAGGGTTCCACTTTTAAAACCAATTATGAAAACCACTGAACTAGAATTTTTAAGGTTTGTGTGGTATCAAAAAAAAGCGCTGGTTCTTTTAAATCACTACTAAGTGGCTCTACGCAGTCTCTAAGAAAGTCTCCAGTTCCCTACACTGGAGCTATAAAGAAGCTGAATAATTTCTCCAAAGATTCTGTCAAATCCCAGGTCTGTAATTCTCCTTCAGCTAAGGAGAAAAAAAAAGTTTCAGTGCCTATATTCTTCCTCTAGCACCAGAAAACTTACTAAGGAGAATCAGGAGGTTTTCCAGTGTTTTTCACTAGGAGAACATGATCTGAAAGCTACAGAATACACATGCTTTTTACAACATTATTATTTATGCTTCAAAATCTGTCCTCTGACACTAACACTTTCTATAGCAATCTTTTCTGTACTATCCTGAGAATAAGCACAGAGAACAAGTCAGAAGGCATTAAGAGAGATGCATTTGTTCCAATAAAAATAATGTAATATAGGAGGTTTTCTATTAACCCTATTCCTCTACTTCACAGTCTAATGTGAGTGATTAATATTCAACTTTTCTTTCTAACACTCCATGGTGGGCAAAGTAAATTTTCTGTGTCATTCATTTAAATGGGGTTTATCATAATTTCTAAAAATTCTCACTAAATAGGAACTACCTCCTAGGATTTATTCTCATTATAGCATTTAATTATTTCAATCTAAGACAATTAAAAGATATCCCTTGAAAATGTAAAGCAGCCTGTGTTATACCACATAGACAGATCTCTAGCTAACATGCTGCTCTGATCATCAACCTTTTTTATGAAAAGACTGGGCCCTCCTCTGCTCAAAAACTAGAGCCTAAAATTCTTGGAAGCACTCACATCTTTAAAAAAAAATTTTTTTTTTGCCTGCTTCATTTTCTTCAGACATACTTCTTAAAATATTTGCTGTAAGATCAATTATAACTTTCTTTTAAAAAAATTCAACTATTATGTTTTTCTAATATTCTGAATTTTTAGCTCAATAACTGTAGTTCTTTGCTACAATTAGTTTATTGTAAAATGTTAGGCTTAGAATTTAACAATCTTCTAAGTAAAGTCCAATAAAACAAATCAGAATAACTACTGTTAAATAAGAATAAATAGCCATACAAAGGGAAAGTAGGTTCATGAGTCTTTTATGGACTCAGCTGGCAGGAAAATGGTTTGCAACAGATCTAAACTTGGTAAGTTCTATTTGGTGACATGAATAGAACCAGTAAGCCTTCTCCCAAAGTAGTTGCTAACATACAGCAATATCACCAACTTTCCATTTGAATGAGAATTTTCTCCACTGAACCTTTATATTTTACTTAGGTGGTTGATATGATCAACCTATACATTTTATAACGATCTGTACATACAAGTTACAAACTAATCTCAGGTAATAACAGAACTGCCAGGGCAAAACCTCTTTCAGAAAAGTAGCTTCTACCTGCCACCAGTCTGGTATAAATATTTCACTTACTAGCCAACAATAAATCATTCGCTTGTAGCAACTTATTCCAATTTTTGTTTTTGACATCTGTTATAAAATAAGTGAAGTGAAGAAGTATTATAGTAAAACCTACAGATGTAGCTAGGAAGTTTCTTTACACAAAACTAAAGGACAATATGGTATTAACAATCTTAGTAACATTTTAGAATTCTTAAAGATAAATAATCTAAGAGAAATGGTGAAAAGGAATCTTAAAAATACTATCTAAATTCTATAAGGAAAACACAGAACATCTAGCCTGTAAATTTAAAATGTATACTTTACTCTTGTCTACTCTTAGGAATGGTTTGCCATTACAACATTAGAAATGTCTTTTAGTTTGGTAAATCTATGTATTCCAATAATAGAAAAACTTTAAAAAAACACAACTTAATTAGACTAACACACCTACCTGTGCTTTCTGAAGTAGTTCAATTGTAAGAGAAAGCCAATCAGGAATGAGTTTCTCCATTTCCAGACTAACCATGGCCAGAGCAAGCATGGATCCTTTGAATTGCAGAAGTTGGTTGCAGGCCATACAGTGAAGTAGTTGCTTGGTAAGGACTGCCAAATGTTGAGATGGGCTCAATTTGGGCAAACTGAAAAGTAACTGAGGCCTAGTTGACACTGCAATGGCATGGAACTGAAAATCACAAGAACATCATTTTAACTTTATTTAATTATCTAGGAAATTACATATAAAAATGGATGCAACTTATTCAATTTGTTTTTGTTTCTGTTTTTTTGAGACAGAGTCTCACTGTCCCCCAGGCTGGAGTGCAGTAGCATGATCTCCCAGATTCAAGTGATTCCTCCTGCCTCAGCCTCCTGAGTAGCTGGGATTACAGGTGCCTGCCACCACACCCAGCTAATTTTTGTATTTTTAGAAGAGACAGGGTTTCACCATGTGAGACAGGCTGGTCTCAAACTCCTGACCTCAAGTGATCTGCCCACCCTGGCCTATCAAAGTGCTGTGATTACAGGTGTGAACCACCATGCCCACCCTAACCTATTTCTAAGTTTTCTATTTAAGCTTCAGTGATATGACATATATACTAATTTGTAATATTTCCTTGAATATCAATAATTTTTTTTCCTAAAAATCAGTACTAAATAAATGAGTAGCAATCTATTCTTTAAGTTACTGAAGACTACATACTCAAATAAGAAACTAAAAGACTTCGGGTATATTTACAATATGAAGAAAATCCAATGGTGTGGCTGTGTGAAGATCCCAATTCAACTTATCCAGAATAATTCTCTCCATTCTCAAAATTTCAGATGAGGAACATCCACAGAAACTGTCTCTTGCCAATACTTTCAGTACTGGAATTCTCTATCCAAAGCAAAGGGGAACAGGGACAGGGAGAAAAGGACAGAAAGAAACTCATTTTCAATTTTTGTTTTGGCAAACAAGAAGCAAGTTAATAAATGGAGAGAAATTTTCACCAAAGAAACATATCTTGAAAGGAATTTTTACCTCATCTTCCTCAACAGTCTTGGCAGCAAGGAAAAAACAGCTGATGGCAATACAACTCAAGTATTTTGGATGAGCCTAAAATTTTGAAGAGGGAAAAATCAGCTTTAGTGATTTTTCAAAAACGGTTTATTACCTCTTTACAACTGTTTTAAAAACTTGTATACACACAATGCTATGGAATTCAATTAATGTGACTGCCACTCATCATTGCTTTTCAGATCAGAGGTAACTTTTTTTTAAGAGCAGGAAAAAAAGTTTATTAAAAAGCTTTAGAGAAGTAAAATGAAAGAAAGGAAAGTACACTAAGATCAAGTGCATCCAGAGCTAACTTTTAACATTATAATCCTAGCCGTATGATATTCTACAAAAATAACATCCATTCCATTGCTCAAAATTCAATCAAAGCCAATTAACCAAAGGTCATTTCTATCCGGCAGAAAAAGCTTGATTTGCAAGTTTTTAAATAAATATTCCCAAAATTAAAAAATATATTTTGTGTGTATATAAACATTTTTTAAAGCTAATTGTCTGCAATCTGGAATATCTGAAAAATGCCTACTTTTATCTCAGCAACAAGTCCATACCACTTATCCCTCCCTCTCTACCACATCTAACCTACCTTTCACAGATAATTCCACAGAAAGGTAAGTTTAAGGTTAGTGTCCTTCCTTGGACAGTGTATTTTTCAAAAATTATTAGTGAACATACATTGTTGTAGTTTCTATCATGAGATTCTTACATTAAACATTTTAAACAAAGTTGGAGAAATTTCTGGAACAATTAGAGAATTTTGCCAAATATCTCATTTTTTTTCATATTTCTTATTTATTGGGTCCTATCATGTTTAGTAAGTCTCTTAAGAGTATAAGTTTGAAACTGAGCGGCTATTCAGGCTTACACTCCATAATTCTTTGGCTTCTATTTTGTATACCTAATAAAGCATTTAACTGACAGTTCCCCCAGTTTACATATTCTTATGCATACTAATGCCTACAGTTTAAATACTTTGCTACTCTTTCATGCCTTGCCATTAAATAAATGCTAATTTTCTGCTTTAAATATGTTGAGGGCCTACTACGACTAACTTGACACAACCAATGACATAGCAATGGGGACAATATAAAACCTAATTATTTGTATGCTGCCATTCAACAAAAATATACTGAAGTTGTTTCATGACATTTTGTTATATTTCAAAGCATGCCCATAGAAAGCACTTAATACTTTTCAGAAAGCCAAACAGTATGGATATTCAATAAGTAGTGACAAAGAAAAACGTGCAATAATAGGCTTATACTTTTCTAGTCTGATTTCTTGTCAACCTCTAGTACACCAATATGTTAGAAAATGATTAAATATTCTGCTGATGCTATATGGTTTGTACTAAAATCAAGAGATAAAAGCTTTCATAGGCTAAAAAAGTGAATACTTGTAACAAAAAGAAAAGTACAGAATACAATTAGAAACACTTCCAGAAACACTTCTGCTATTTAAACAATAGCAGAAGGCTGGGTGAGGTGTGGCTCACACCTGTAATCCTAGCACTTTGGGAGGCCAAGATGGGCCGATGACTTGAGGTCAGGAGTTTGAGACCAGCCTTGCCAACATGGCAAAACCTCGTCACTACTAAACATACAAAAATTAGCTGGGCATGGTGGCACATGCCTGCAGTCCCAACTACTTGGGAGGCTGAGGCACAAAAATAACTTGAACCTGGGAGACAGAGGTTGCAGCGGGCCAAGATTGTACCACTACACTTCGGCCTGGGCAACAGAGTGAAACTGTCTCAAAAAATAAAAAATAAAATAAACAATAGCAGAAGACACCACCATGTCATCTTATGGGTACATACATCATTCTCCAGAAGAGTTTTCCAATTCTTTCCACCTTACAGAATGTTTACTAATAGGCTCTGGTTTAGCATAACTACACGCAAATGAGGTTATGTATATGTTTATCTTAAAACACTTACCTTTACAGTAGCTAAAAACCTGTCCAAAAGACTGCTAGCCAGAGCAAATGTTTCTGGGTAAAGGTTGAATTGGTACTTGAGTTTGGCCAGCCATTGAATTACTTCATCTCTCTGGGATGGAGAAACATTCTGAAGGGAACAATTTTAAACACAGAAGACAATGTTTGAGCTATTATCAAGAGTATGTTTAGAATTCTCTCTCATAAAAGGTTAGGAAATACTACAAAATACGTTTTAAAATGTTAAGGTTATTGAAAAGCTATCAGACTTAAGATAGATGAATATGAAACTTTATGTAAAGTTTCCACATTTAATATCCATATTCAATATTCTCCTACTCTTTATTAAAATTTTCACTATGTCATCTCACCAAATATCCACAGTTTAATTAAATTTAGGTATTCAGAGAATATAACATTTTTAAAGTTTAAGTAACATTATTATTAACTGATAGTAATTCTGGAATTTTTTCCCAACTCTTAAGATTAAGAAAATATAGTGTATTTCTCTCACAGCAAATAGTCATTAACTTATCTTAGGAAATATAAATGAACTATAAAAGAATAACAACCCATTTAAAAAACTAAAATCAGTAATAATAAATGAAAGATACCAGGGACAAAAGATGAATTATATATTTAGAGATGATGAAAAATATTGAAAAGGAAATTAACCTGAAGTAAATTACTATTTCAAAAGATTTCCACAAACACAAAACATTACTGTTGTATTGTTGCCATAAGCCTATTGAGTAGAGGCTTAATTTTTAGCAGGGACACACTTTAAAGCAATAGTGATTAGAAAACTTTTACTCTTGAATTTTGGAGTCACCATTAAAAATACAAAACCGGTTGCTTATGTTGGGAACATTCAGTATTCTCCTTATAGCTATTTCAAACTGTAGTTTCAAACAGTTTGAAATAGCTATAAGGAGAATATTCAAATAATATGTAGGAAAATTAAAACAACAATAATGTTTTGTGTTTATGGAAATCTTTCAAAATAGTAATCTACTTCAGGTTAATTTCCTGTTCAATATTTTTTCATCATCTCTAAATGTATAATTCATCTGTTGTCCCTGGTATCTTTCATTTATTACTATTGATTTCAGTTATTTAAATGGGCTATCATTCTGTAATCAGAGTCCATTTATATTTCCTAAGTTAATCATAGTAAGCCTACAATGGTATGGAACACTAGATGTTATTCCCCGGATATACCTGTAATTTTGCATGTAGGCTACTTTAAGATCTACTTCTGGACTAGGGGTCCATAAAAATCCCTAAGAACCAAGTAAAAGCAGTCATAAGACTTCTGGATGAACAGATAAGCATTCAAGAGAAATTAAATTCCTATCAAGATGAGCTTTTAGCTAAAATACCACAACAAATAAGGAAAAGTAATGTTAAGTAAGCCAGCCAAACACATCAACAAGGAAATAAATTCCCAGGAGAGGTAGCTGATGTTATAATCTGATGAAAGTGGTGAGGCTTTTAGGGAGATAAAAGGAACAATGGTTTATAGTAGCTATGAAAATAAGAACACCATTAACTCCAACCTTCAGGTAGAGATACAATGTGGGGTAAGGGAGAAAAAAAAAAATCCCTGAATGACAGATTACATTAAATGGTGTTTGGCATTAAACAATAACAGAAACATATAATTGTAAGAAGAATCACAAAACATACAAAAAAAAAAAAAAAGAGAATACAGTTATAACTAAATGATGTAACTTATGTAAAGCACATATATAGAATGCAAATAGCACTCAAATATTAGTTCTCCTTTCCCATCTCTAAACTACCAATTCTCTAATGTCAGAAAAACAAATCTGCAAAATGTTATGTATGAATAATTATTTTAAACACTGTAACAATTAGTCATGAAAGAGATCATGACAGTATCTGTGAACTTCAATATTCCATACATATATACACACACTTTTTGAGACAGGATCTTGCTCTGTCACCCAGGCTGGAATACAATGGCATAATCATGGTACACTGCAGCCTCGACCTCCCAGGCCCAAATGATCCTCCCACCTCAGCACCCCAAGTAGCTAGGACCATAGGAACGTGCTACCATGCTCAGTAATTTTTTTTTTTTGAGACCGAGTCTTGCTCTGTCACCCAGGCTGGAGTGCAGTGGCTCCATCTCAGCTCACTGCAACCTCCATCTCCTGGGTTCAAGCAATTCTCTCTGCCTCAGCCTCCCAAGTAGCTGGAATTATAGGATTGTGCCACGCCTGGTTAATCACTTACTTTTAGTAGAGAAGGGGTTTTACCATGTTGGCCAGGCTGGTCCAAACTCCTGACCTCAAGTGATCCACCTGCCTCAGCTTCCCAAAGTGCTGGGATTACAGTTGTGAGCCATATGCCCTGCCTAATTTTACTTTTTGTAGAGACGAGGTCTCCCTATGTTACCCAGGCTAGTCTTGAACTCCCAGGCTCAAGCAATCCTCCCGACTTGGCATCCCAAAGTGTTGGGATTACAGGTGTGAGCCACTGTGTTTGGCCCATATACCATATACTAAAATTTAACAATAGGGCCAAGAAAAGCATTCCTGCATGGCCAACTTTATCATCATTAGCCAAAACTAGTAACAATTTTTTTTTAAACCCAAAAGATAGTTTAAGAAGACTCAATTTAACTAAAGTAATACTGAGTCTAACGTCACTTTTTCAAATCAATTCAAACATGTACTGAATAGTAATATTATCATGACAGCATTACAAAAAGTTCTATGCCTAAGTAATTCATTTCACTCCTCTTTCTCTAAAATAAAGAATGAGAGAAAGAGAAAGAGAGAAAGCCCAAAACAGTATTTCCTGATTTCATCAGATGAACTGTCTTTTTTTCTCATATGGACAGCTCAAATAGGATTAGGATTCAGTAGTTGAACAAATAATCCTAAAGAAAATTTATAATGGATTGATTCAACATGGTAAAATATAGACTGCTATTAATATATATTCTGTATATTTATTATATGCCATATGCTGCTAGTCTCTTCCTTATAATACACACCATCCTCACCTTTAAACTCTAAAAGGCTTACCATTACCTAAAAGATTAATTACAATTCCCCAGCATGGCATACAAATCTATGACTTCCCTCTCTAACCTCAGATATCCTTTATCACTTTGTCTTAAACTTCATGCTGTAAGAATAGTAACTTCTATTTATGATTCTTCTTTGCCCCTGCTATGCTATTTTACATCACTGCTCCTTTGTTCATATTGTTCCTTCTGACTAGAACACACTCCTTTCTCTATCTCACCTGCCTTATTATGTATCAAGATCTTGAAAGCTATTTTGATGTTACTTCCCACCAGATACTTTTCCTGGTAATTCAAGTTGGGCTAAGTACCTTCCTATGCTCCCACAGCATCTCATTGCACCTGTTACTGTTATGTTCAACATTTTTTAAAAAATTAAATTTCTGGACATGACCCACATCTGTAATCCCAGTACTTTAGGAGGCCAAGGTGGGAAAATTGCTTGAGCCCAGGAGTTTGAAACCAGCCCAGGTAACATAGTGAGGCTTTATCTCCGCAAATAAAAAAATTAGCCAGGCGTGGCGGTGCATGCCTGTGATATCAGCTGCTTGGGAGGCTGAGGTGGCACAATCACTTGAGCCTGGGAAAGAGAGGCTGCAGTGAACTGTGATAGAGCCACTGCACCCCAGCCTGGGTAACACAGCGAGACCCTGTTTCAGAAAAAAAAAATTAAATTTCTGTTTTTGGCTTTAATAAAGTAGGAAGCAGCAAACCTAAACTCCAGTTGAGAATGACTAGGAAAGCTGTTTTTAAGATTCCTTAGAGTTATAAAATTCTATTGAAAATCATCTGTATATAAACAATTTGTGGCAGCGTTTTATCTTTGTAAATCAAAAGCACTTTGGCAAAATAAATTGAGAACAACTGACAGTATGTGCCACTTTGACCAGTTTCCACTTTTTCCCCAAAATTCATGTAACAAAATTATCATGAACTTGAAAGTACTAGAAATTTTCTGCAAGTGCCAAGAACACAGTAAGGTACCTGAATGAATCATAAAGAAATGATAATCACCATTCACTTAAATGCTTACTGTGAGTCTATTATATGCAAGTAAACAAAAATGACACAACCATACCCCTCAAGGAAACTCACAATCAAATAATCAGAAAATTATAATACTTTGTGCTACGGTAAGGGAAGCAGAGTGTGGCAGAAACACATAGATGGTGATTGATAGGTGTATAATATTCTTTCATGACCATGCTGTCCTAAATTGGGGGACGGGGGATGCAAATTAAACAAGAGACTGACTTTAAAATACAGTTTAGTTGAGGCAGCGGAAGTCAGAAGAAAACTGGAGGAAAAGGCATAAGAGAAAGCTTAAAAATATTTTATTTTTACATTTTCACCAACACTTCAAATAAAATTAGAAAAGTTACAGCAACAGTAGAAAGGGAGGTTAAAAAAAAAATGCCAGTCCCTAGAAGAAAATAAAAGAATTAGAATTAGAATAGAGAAATGTCCCTGGGGGTTACTCTGGTAAACAACTCAAGCCTCTATAGCCCTTTATCTCATTCTGTATTTACCCCAAAACTCAAGCCCCTATAGCCCTTACCCCATTCCTATCTTTTCTCCTAACCCCACCACACCTGGGCCACCCCAAGTTACAGTGAGCCAAGATTGTGCCATTGCACTCTAGCCTGGGCAACAGGAGAAAAACTCCTTCTAAAAAAAAACAAACAAACAAAAAAGAAAGAAATAGGTCAGATTATGTGGTAATATAGCAATATACTACAATCTAGGTAGACTATCACCTTCAAAGACCATGTTGTAAAAATATATTATTGTTGGTTACATGCTGACTCAAAGAGATAGCAGGAGGAGGAAAAGAATGGTCCTCCAAGCAGCTATAAAAAAGCTTTGAGGCTCAGTGGAATGTGACAACATAAGGGCAGGAATTTATTTTCTCCTGTTGTATCTCCAATGCTTAGAATAGTGCCTAGAATATAGCAGATACTCAAAAGACATTTGCTAAATGATTTGAATTCCCAATTAATCTAAAAATCACACATGCACACAAAAATATGAGACAACAACAACAAAAAAAAGAGGACTGCCTTAGGAAA